CGGACCATCTCTAATTTTTACATTCTCTATTTTTCCCTTACATACTATATTTCCATTAATATTTGCACCTATTTCCCATTATCCTAGCAAAACATAAAGGAATTACTGATGGCTCAAGAATTTCATCATCCTGTATTTTTTTTCTAGCTGTTCACCCGAATGACCACAATTCCCTTGAAATCTGAGCTTCTGTCAGGCTTCATAAGTTTGGACTGATATTCCATATTCTTTCAATTTATTATGTTTTTTTTATTCCTCTATTTTTAAGTGATGATATTATTCATGTGTTATGTACAGGGTCCCACCCAGTGGCACGTCCAAATCATCATGGAGAAGCTGCTGAGGACCGTTAACAGGACAATCATTTCTATGGGTCGCGATTCACCTCATATCGTAAGTGCAATTCTCTGCTTGGATACCAGGCAGTATATCACGCTAAGCGCGCGACTCTCTGTGTTTGATTTTTGTGGTTGTTTTTTTTTTTTTAAATACACATACATGCACACAATTTTAGAGGCACATGTACCGCAACCAGATTGACTCCCACAGTCACGCAGCAACCACAGTTCCAATCCAAAAGTATCATTAAAGGTAAAGCCTACCTTGGCAGATTGCTTTCACACTCCCTCAGTCTAAGAGAGGCTTTGATCTGCTCATATCTTTCTCCAGCCGGTTGTTTTTGCGCCGGCGTGTTTGTGTGTGTTTTCCTTTTGCTTTGCTTGTGTGTCTTATCCTCACTTATTACTACACTTCTGGTGCTCTGTGCTGTAATCTAATCACTGTATCACCCCACCGTTGCCTTTAGCATCCATCTTCCCATCACTCTCTCAGCCAGAGCTTGGTAGCAATTAATGCACTTATCAGTCATCCTGTAAATATGTAGTCTTTCTGATGTGTGCGAATAAGGCTTCACCCATTTTCTTCAGTCCCAAACGCCAATTAGTACAACTGTATTTTTAGTCAGAAATGTGAACTTCTGTCTTGCTTGACTTGTTCTGTTTCTTCCTTTTGAATAACTTCTTTATTAGAGCTGCGTGTAGATGTGTTGTATTGTCTTTGAAAATTAGACTTTTTTTTTCATGATCGACATTCGTATTCTTACAGCTCTGTAAAATACAGCTTAGTGATGAGACATTTTCTTATGAGCCTATAGACATTTAGTAATGACAAATATTCACACCGCTTCCATCGGGGAGCACCAGGATTCACCATCACTTGTTTAAATGGAGACTTTTATTACCAGTAACTGAGCCACGCCGGCAGAGATGGATTCCTTACAGCCCGGAGTCGCCACTGAGTGATCATCTAGTGTGTTTGTGTATGTATGTGTTATATCATAGTGCTGTAATATGTCCACATCCCAGACGCTTCATCTCCTGTGTTGGGTCTTTCTTTCTAGGTTGCAGCGAGGGATTTTTGCAGCAGAAATTCACTAACTGCTTCTTTTGTCTCTCTCTCTCTCTCTCTCTCTCTCTTCTAAAACTATTCCGGCTATGCACCAGCTAATCCCATAGATGGGAAGCCCTCCGTTGTGTAACAGATTGCTAAGAATACATCACACTAAATAATGTCAAGCTAATGAAGCTGCGAGTTGAGCTAAGGCCGTCCCACTGCCCATTTTCTCCCAACCAGCTGCCTGGAGGGCGTCTAGGGCTCCCACTTACTCTCCCACTGCAGTTCTCTAGTCAATTCATTGTTATACCAGCTATTCAAATAGTGCGCTGTCCTGCCTAGCTCATAGTCAAACAGTTTTAAAAGTTAAATCTGAAGATAGATTTGATCTCTGTAGATGTTTTGTTAGAGCCTGGGTGAACTGAACAGTTCACCGTCTCCTGTCACCATTTCCTGTTTGTTGTTTTTCCACTGAAGTGGCAAGTGTCTAAAAGGCTGTCAGTATGAAGGCATATGCAGGCCTCCTTTTCACAGTATTGCACTAAGTGCATCTATTTTGGTGTCCACCTGTGGGGTAGTTGAAACGGTGTTTTTTGCTTCCAACAGCGAGTGCTGGCATGTGCCTCCTTTCTAGTTAATCAAACTACTCTACCCACGACCTGTTTTGGCCCGTGTTGAAACTATCTACTCTGTATACATATGCTGCCACTGGCCTCTATTTTACTTTGCTCCTCGAACACAGCTCGGGTTTATTGTCCCTACCGACCCCAACCTTTTGTCAGCGGCTGCCTTTATAGCTAGCTAGCATCTGCACTTGACTGCCTTGACATTTTAAGCATCTGAATATGATTTTGCATCAATGTGCGGAGTGTCCTTTTACTCAGTGGGATTTAGAGGTTACATGAAAGCCTAAGGCTCTTTTACTCAAACACATTATACATTATATAGTACTTGGGACAGAAATTGCATTTGAACTAGGTCCCCAAATTATTATTTAATGATGAATAAGGTGGGCGTGAATTTTTAAAAGCTATGAGACCCAGTTAGTGCTGCTAGCAGTGTTGTTGCTTTCTAATCAGAGGGCTGTTGTTGCTGCCTCTGGGTACAGATGCCTACTCTGCAGGCAGCTTGCACGCTGCTGCTCACACAACACCGCATCCAACCACCGACCTTGTTCTTCTGAGTGGCAGCCTCTTACATTTAGATTTATGCATTAACGTTCTACTCTGTCTCCCGCCCGTCTCTCGCTCTCTTCCCTTTCTGCTCTCTCCTGGCAGTGGTGGACACAGAATGTTGATGAGAAAGCACGCAGTGACGACTTTGGGGGCGTTGGTTTTGTTGCGTGCTGTCACTGCAGTGCTACGCCTGTTAGCAACTTGGACACAGCATCATAACATCATCTCGCAGGCTGTATCTTTGCATTCATGTCCACCCTCACACAGGTTGAAAGAAGTCCTTGAATTGAATACATTTAGATTATGGCTGTAGCAGAAACATTTAGCCGCTTTCCGTGGAAAGCACCAGGTTCTCCTTTTATGCTCTTATTTCTTCTAGTTTGAGTTCCTGGATAGACGAGAATAGGAAGCCTTGCAGATAGACAGAAATAGGAAGCTGCAAATGTATTTAAAAAAAGAAAACAGAATTGATTAAAAGACTTGAGTACATATTTGACAGCTAGGTTTCCCATGATGTTGTCAAGAAAAAAACCCCCACTGCTGAACTTTTTTGTGGACACAAGTTCTCAAGACTACTCAAAACATGTTGCAGTGATACTTAGCTGCAGTGCTCCACAGTTAGCCTCATGATTTTCCTGCAGTGTGCGGAGGGAACGAACTGGAAAGCTGCAGGGGAAGGACTCTGTGTTATTGATTGACAGTATGGGGCTGACCAGCTATAGGTGCTAGAGCTTTTTTCCTTTGCTGCGTGCACTCACTGACTTAATAGTGTAAATTGCGACACGGTCATTCCAGGTATGCGTGTCTAGTTCAGAATCTGGTATTGCACATTCGCTTTATCTCTGTGTTTGGATATTTTTCTGTACAAATATTTTTCTTAGCATCTCCTTGCATCTATCGCTCTGTCTCCTCTCCTCTCTCTTTTTTCTGCTGGCCAGACTACTGCAGAGCTCTTACAGAAAAGAAGCATAGTGAGATATGGCACTGCATCATAATGCCTCAAACATGCACTTATCACTCGCTGCACCTCTCGTCTCCTCACCTGTTTTGAAACTTTGACTGCGCATCCCTTTAGGTTTATTGAGCCTGCAACAAACCATGTTGTGATGTGTTGTGATTGTCAGCACTGTATAAACCGCTGGGACTTCTTTGCTGTTTGTCACCTTAAGACCACAGAAGACTTTTAAGTAAGAATGCACAATGTTAAACTGCAGTAGGTGTCGTGTTTGCACTCTCAGTTCTTGGGCATACCTAGTCACTCATCAAGCCCGGTGGAGTCGGCCAGGCTGTGGCTAGCGCTGACCTTCAGCAGCGTTACTTCATGCATCAGTGTGAGGGTGACTGTGCATCTGTGGGGGTTTTGTTCAGAGCTTTGTTGCTGGTTTACCTCATGTTTGCACTTCAAGACTTGTTTGTACTAACATGAGGCAGGTGCAGGTGCAGATGCATGAGCACACGGACATGCCCGAAAACAAAATCTGTATTAGAGTGAGGATGGTAAGGGCAAAGACTGGTTCCAAAGCAGGTTGGCTGTGCACAAAACACTGCTGCTTACCCTTCTGCTGTATTCTCCTCTCGTCTCAGCCCACCATAGTACATTAAAGAGATGTATGATTTCAGCGTTATCTTGTACCAGGTGTTCTGGTCAGATACTGATGTTAAATTTGACCAACAGTTGAGATACCGATCTGTTTTTGTTATTCTTTATTCGTCCAAGAATAAAACTAAGTAAATTTACACGAAATATTAAAAAAGGGTAGCTGCACTGTTTTAAAGAGTTTGAAATCTTAATCAGGGTTTCTTTAGCAAACTTAAAGTTGATCCAACACAATAGATAAGACACCAACCCTCACTTGTAGATTTGCCCGCATGTTAAAGTTGGTCAACAAGGCCAATACTGTTGCTTTATCAACACTGGTCAGTACTGATTGTCCACTGTTGGTATCAGTGCGTTAGCGAAGAATTTTCCACAGCAGTGCAGTCAGAAATTGGTTTTCACAGGGATTGTTCATCCAAATTACAAAACACATTTCCCCACTAACCCCTGGTACTAGCAACCAATGTGCTAATACCTTGCTAATACTAGGTATTAGCTATGCAGATTGGTTGCTTAGGATATGAGTGCTGCTTTATTCAAAATTTGAGTTGTTCAAAAGTACTGCATCTTTCTAGATGCTGTGATCTAATTTCACAGTGCAGACCCATCAAGCCTGGGCAGACGTATTCCAAAGCATCTGCTAAAAGTTAGGGAAGCTAATCCTTTACTTATAATGTGACTGAAGAAGGTAGGAAAAAAAGTATCATTGTGCTTATAGCTCCACAAATTAAACTCGGTCCAGATCAGATTTCGAGAGCTTTGTTGATATCTTTTTTTTATTTCTTTTTTTTTTTTTTTTCATATTTTGCATATTAAATATCTTTATTTTTGTCTTTTTTAAAAAAACTGTATAAAAGACACAGTATTGCACATAATAAATCAATTGCACTTCTTTAAGATACAGATAAACATCTAGTTCTCTCTTGATGCTACAGTATAACTACTGAAAGAAACCAACCTAGCATATACAAGAGTGAAGTTGTGAAATATATGTAACTAACAAAATGCAGCATGTTGGAGCTTGTGAAGGTCAAGCCAGTGATAGCTAGTAGTTTGCTGGATATTGTTGTTGTACATTTTTTTTATGTCCTTGAAACCACTTTGGCATATTTCCTGTCTTCTAGGGCAGTGGTTGTGTCTTTTAGAGTGATCAGCTATTACGTTTTTGTTTTTTCTCTTTAGATATTGGCTGTTATCCCACACTTGAAATGTTTTTCAGCACTATTTGATATTGTGTAATATATATTTACATACAGTGATGTGAGTAAGTAAAAACATCCCATGGAAACTGATTACTTGTTTAAATATCTGGACCAGCACACACTAGATCCTCTTTGAATTGAAATGGCTCCTACAGATAAATGTAGTATACTTAAAGAACATGATAACCAAAAACATACAATGACATATAAAGTAATATGTTATTATCTGTTTAAACACAAGTACATCCTCAGCCTTAAGAAACTAGAGTTGCCATCGGCCGGACAGGCTGAGTCTGGTCAGTATATCCTGGGCAACCGTTGCTCACTAGGTAAAAGTTTCTATTCTGAAGGTTGCTGGCAGCTGCTAGCGTGAAATTGGTCACGGTGCATGGAGATATGCAGTGCTGCACCAAAAACCTCTTTGTGATTGGTCACTTTCAGGTTGCCGCGGTCGCTTACTGTGCATGGAAGACGCCGACTTGGCTGTAAAGACTTGAAAAACGTCTTGCCAAGCAGTAATAAAACTGTGAAAGGTGTGGCACAAACTGGAAAGAGGCCATTTGATTTCAAAGTAAAAGTTGTGCCTTTTGAAATGTTTTGGTTGTTGGTTCAGGAAATAGACTTTACCAAGTGTCGGGCAGCAACTTCCAGCGAGCAGTCATCAGCAAGTCAAAGAATACACACTGTTCCTTAGCGATTGGAGGGGGGGTTGCAGACTGGTTTCTAGGCCTGGGTCAGCAAGGCAGTAATTGTCTAAAAGTCTTTGAATTACTGAAATTTTTGCCAAATCGTCAATGGACAATGTTTGATGTTTGAACTTGTTCTGCCTGTTTAAGACAAGATTTAAGACCATTTCCATACACTTTATGTATACTTTTTTCAGGTCCACTTCTAGTTCAGCTTCAACTTTCATTCATGTATCTTCAAATAATCCTTTAAAATTCTTTGATATAATAAATAATTCACACTTGAGAAAATGAATGCAAGCTGCCCAGTCCCAGCAAGCAAAGTGTCCTCGAGGCATAACGACCCAGATTCACATATTGTAAAAGGTTTTTCTCTTCAAAAATGTTCTCTCTACTGTTGTGGCCAAACAGCTCTCTTGACATATCTCTCATGCATATCATGATTGTAGACATGATCACTTCAACGCTGCAAGAGTTACCTGCAAATCTTTGTGGCACCTTAATCAACATACCCTCACAAAGCCTGTGTAGGGTCTAATCACTGACAACAAACCCGGAAGCCCAAATTGTTTTGGTGTGTTAATAGAAAGTAAATTCGACCGATTTGCACTTGGGTGTGTGCATGTATGTTTCTTTTTTTTTTTTCATTTCAGATTAGCACCTTTGCTAATGAGCACTATTTCCAAGAGGATAAAATGTTTGTCCGTCCATATCCGTCCAAAAACGAATTGTTCTTATCGGATGTTCTCACTTTTTCACATGAAGGTGTAGTAAATGCACATGTTGTTTTGGCTGTATGTAATTGTTGAACCCGCTGTGGAGTTACTGCACATGGTTTTTACTTTACAGTCGAATAGATGCAAAGCAATGAGCAGGAACTATTTTTTAACAATAATAAAGGGAAATGGGGGGGGGAGATTTTGTCAATCTCATTAAAAATTGTTTTAAAAGCTAGAAAATATCCTGCAAAATTCAAAGGTTGTAAAAAGCATGCAAGGCTATAAGCCTGCCACCCTGCACTGTAGAAGCCCTGGTTGTGATCAGAAGTGGCACATTCAGTTTCTCTGGCTTGGTTTCAGTAGCTATTATAGTAGCTGATACAGGATACTGCAGCAATACAATCAAAGCTATCCTCTGATACCCTTCGCGTGTGCTGAAAACCAACTATTTATTATAGTTGGTTTAGTAACAGTAACAGTTTTCTCAGTGTGTCTATGCTTTTATACCAATGAATGGGTTTTTGTCTTTTCTTGGTGTTTAATGACCTTATGCATACGTGAGGTTAGTACGAACTTTGCGATGCATGGAAACGAGTTGAGAATTGTGAAATGATCGACTTCCTTTTGCACTGTAGTGTTTGAACTGCACAGCTCCCGTCACTGCAGCTCAAATAAATACATTTTGCTAAATCTTAAAGTGGATGTATATTGATATATTTATATAGAAAAAAGTACATTGATGTTTAACTTTGCAAATATTAAGAAAATAAGTGTTCTTTCTTCTTTTGTTTTGTTTTTTTTTCTTCAAAGTCAGTGGATTCAAGGAAACATTTTAGCGATGGATAAAAAGTTGACTGTAGAACTCCAATAAACATCTGATATTTTGTCCTTTAGGTCTCTTCTTTATATAGATATGAAAGTCTTCACTCTGCATGGTTAGTAGACAATCTACATATGTGAGTTATTACTCAAAATAGTTCTTTTTAATTATTCTGGAGAAAATGTATCCTGAACAGTTCTAATTGTGCTTTGCAGTACAGTGATATGCTGTTTATGGAGGCCTCAGAGCATTATGGTTGATCTGCCAACCTCTCCTGGAGGCTGGGAAGAAAGTCCCAACTGATGAATGGAAATGTGAAGGGCACAGAACCATTACAGAACAGAACCCCGTTGACGTCAGCTAGAAGAAGAAAAAATATATATGCAAATAGACATCGGGAAATCAAATTCATCTTCTCACCTTGCCGATCTCCAAATATGTTTCCTTGGTGTAATTTCACACCCTGTTTGAAGAAATTAGTTCAAAATAACTCAGAATCCATTTTTGGTAAGCATGACATTTTAAATTTTCCGTGGGATCCGCACTCGTGTCTCATTAAACATCCTGTTATCTCAGAAAAGGGTTCGGTATCCAGTCAAGGTCTCCATTAATACCAGGTCTACATCCAAAAAGAAGTTGAGGAATAAACCAAACAAAAGCGGATGATCGGATGGACACTTAAATCCTGTGCACGGTGGTGGAGGGGAACATGGTTTTTTGTTGTCACAGGAACCAAAGTTTCCAGCGAGCGTGTTTCTTGGAGTCAGCTTTGGACTTGCGTTTTGGGGTGGAGGTGAAGGCCTCCTGAGGGTAAGGCAGGGGGGGGAAGTGGGTGTCCTCTGTTGGGAAAAGCCTCTTCATCAGTGGTTGTAGCTTGTCCTCCTGTTGCTTGAAATCCAGTTCAACACTGCAGCGAACAAAGAAAGAAAGGTGTTAGCTTAAATGATTGTCAGTTGCTGGCTTGCTATTAACATCATTGTCTCCAGGGCATTTATTTCCAATTTAAACAGTCATTTACGTTGGGACGGACTGAAGTAGTGTAGCAGTAAAAACTATTCAACTAAGATGAATCAAAATATGACAATTATTTTTTGAGATTTCATCAACAAAGCATCCTGTGGGCTGAAGTGGATGGAGACCAGCTGAATACTTATTAGCACACAGTTATAAACCATGGCATAGGTAACATGTACATGTGGGAAGGCACCATAAAAGCTTTGCAGCCCCACACATTTATATGTGTGAGTAGCTCAGCTACTCAGCACATTACGGAGTTCTTTTATTAAGACAAACTATTATGAATGTATTAAATACAGTCCAGACATGTCCCTCATTGAGGACATTGCATGCATTAAGATGCAAAGAATATGAAAAGGGAGGCCTTGAAGTGCTGAGCAGCTGTAAGTGGATCAAGAAAGAATGGAGCGGAAAAATTAAAACGACATCAAATGCTTATAGAGTATTAAAAAGAAGAGGTGATGAATTATCCAGCTTTTTTTTTTAAATGTGTCAAAGTAAAAGTGAGCATGTGTTTTTCAATATTAAAATAATCAGAATAAATGATAAATAAAGGGTCTGACAGACTTTGAAAGCTTTGTCTTCTATTATAATTTAAATTTAACTCAGAATTGCAACATTTTTGGATACGGATTTGTAGAAAGCTCCTTTTTGTGCCCATTTACACCCGTTGCTTGATTCTGTTACTGTAGCCCAAATCTTCATTTTCTAGGACACATTTGCCAAATTAATCATAATGAATGAATTTCAGGGAAAGAATGATAAGTGTGGCAGTTTTATCACATTATCGTTGAAATGAATACCATGGAAATGGGATGTTATTACCCAAGTCGTATAGTTCATTTATTGTGTTCCGGTCTTTTTTTTTCATTTCTTATAATTCATTAACATTTGAGTGCTGGCTTTTATTTAATGCCTTTTATTGTTTATATTCTTCTTTTATCATCTTTGAAACCAGGGTTGAGGTTTGCCCTTAGTGCTTCTTTTAATCTTGACATTTTTTGGCTGTCGCATTCCCCCGACAATCATATTAAGCATCAAAGTTATGGCCTGTACTCACTTGACCCCTGCGCAGGCATCTGTCACGGCACTGCTCAGCCTGGTAAAGCGACCTACATTTCCTGGTTGCTTCATCTTTATTTCCCAGTAAAACCTCCAAATTTAGACATTTCTTGATTGCATCTGGCTGCTCATTTTGGCTCATTTTGGCTGCAACCACTGCTGTCTTTTTCTTTTTCTGTCTTTCTTTTGTTATTTGCCTTCTCATTGTGAATCATAGAGCGACAGGGAAGTCCATTAGTGTTTTTCCCACTCTCAGTTCAGTCTCTGGTGGTGATGTTGAACTGAAGATCATTTGCTTAGCTGGACCTCAGATCAGAGCCTTAGTATTGATGTGAGGATGTCACCTTGTTTTATATCGCTTCAATCAATGCTCAGTATTACAATACCAGAAAAAAATAGTGCTTATAAAGAATGCGTTAATTTTTTGCTTTTTTTCTTGTCCTTCTTGGTTCACTCTGTATTTACTAAGGGTTCAAGGGTATTTATCTGGACCAAGCGTCATTGTAATCCCATACTTGCAAACTGACTGCTAGGTGCTGCAAAGTGAAACTCAGATTACTGCCTCAGCTGTGCTTTAATCTGCTAAAGCCTTCGTCAGCCACTACATAAGTCAGGCTGGTGGCAAATCTGATAGACAGACTTGCATAATAGCAGCAGGCTGCCTGCTCAGATTTAAGTACAATGCATCTGTTGGGATTTTAGACTTGAAGCGATACATAGTTAGATCATTATTAGTATTCAAGGTGAATTGCAATTGCACATTATTATCCGTATAGACTCTGAAAGTGCAGTCAAATAGTAATAAGTTCTTAAATCGAGTCTCTGTAGTAAAGTGACATTAATGGGGAGTTTTTTTATGAGGAGACATTCATGTGGAAATTTCTGACACATTTGAAAAAACAGTTAATCACCATTTAAACAATGCATATATATCTGTAGGCAATATATTTTAGCAAAAAAGGAGAAAAGGAAAAGCCTCTGTTATACAAAATGTAACATTTAACAATATTAAACATTTAAGCAAAACCTACTTTAAAAAAAAAAGTAGTTATTTTGGGCCAATATGTGTTTGACATGATCTGAAAAAAGCTTTTGAGAAGGAAAACAGACAAGAACCTTTATATGATCTGTGGTTCCTGGTAGTACAAATGTTCTGGGCTGTGGTTATGAAAAGGAAATGAAGGTTAGTGGAATGGAGAAGTCAAAAAGCAGCTAGAATTTCATGAAAGTGTTATGGAGAGATTTGAAACGGATAAGAAAATTCTTGCACATTTTGCAAATACAGGAATTTGGAATGCGAGGATAGGAGATCTTTCAGCAGACTGATGTTTGACACTGGTGGATCGTAGTGCAGAATGCATTTAACTTCTGTCTCGGGTACTGTTTTGCAGACCTGTATCACATGTATTCAGTTCAATTTCAATTTTATTTGTATTGCACCAAACCACAACGACAGTCCCCTCAAGGCACTTTATATTGATATCCATTTTTTGAATGAAATATAAGAAAAAATCTTTCCTTAGAGTTCACCAACTTTATCTGACAACACAGTTTCACAGTTTCAATGAGGAATTTACTTGTCCACACAAAAAAGTCAAACATTTCCTTTGCATGTCATTACTTTCTCCAATAATTGCAAATATGAGCAACTCAAGTGAAGCAGACACTCAGAATTATATAATTCTTTGACTTGAGGCTTTTATATAAAAGGGAAAACGCAGCCACTTTGATCAATAAATCACTGGCTGCTAATTACACTGGTAAAAATCTATATCCGTGTTTCTGTATGAAATTAGTGGAAGTTTGTGTGCACAAATGATTACATGTGGAAACAGCTCCGTGTTGCAAGC